CGTAAACGGTGTGTCACCACCCTGGAGGGCCCTGTCCTCCTTTGCAAGCCCAGCTGCCTGCTTGGGAGTAGTTTCCTTCCCGAGCTGATGTGGACTGCAGTAGGTCAGAAGGGCATCTAGATGTGTTTTCATTCTAATAAAATCATGTATTTATTTTTATGTGTTAAATATTTTAGCAGCTCATCAAAACAAACAAAAAACCCCATCATTCACCCTATTGTTGAGACCAGAACCTTGGAGTCATCAGACTCCCGTCCTTATGGCATATCCCACACCTAATTCATTAGCTCTACCTTCTTTTTTCATTTTGTTTTCCAGTTTTTAAGTTTTTGGTGGTTTTTTTTGGTAGAGATGGGGTCTTGCTATGTTGCCCAGATTGATCTCAAACTTCTGGCCTCAAGTGATGCTTCCACCACAGCCTCCCAAAAGACTGGGATTACAGACATAAGCCACTGCACCTGGTCCACACTTGGACATCAATGTAAAATACTTTCTTTTCAGTTTTTGGAAACAAATAATAACTTGATCTTTTAATTTAAATTACTCTTTAAATTACTCATGAAGCTAAATATTTTAATGCACTTGCAATCATTTTATTATAGTTATTTTGTTTTGTGAATTGTTTTATTTGCATCTTTTGCCTGCTCACGTTCTACTGTGGAAGTGTTGAGGTTTCTTTTTCTTTTTTTTATTGTGGTAAAAGTTACCATTTTCACCATTTTTCACCATACAGTTCTGTGGCATTCAGCACAGTCACATTGTTGTGCTACCATCACCACCATCCATCTCCAGAATGTCTCATCATCTCACACTGAAACACTGTCCCCACCAGATACTGACTCCTCCTCTCCTCTTGCCTCTGCTCCTGGTCACCAGTTCTACTTTCTGTCTCTAGAAGTTTGAGTATTGTGGGTAGCTGATTGAAGAAAATCATACACCATCTGTCCTTTGTGTCACTTAGCATGTCTCCCATTTTCATCCTTGTTGTAGCATGTGTTGGAATTTCCTCCTTTTTAAGGCTGAGTAATATTCCGTGGCAGGTATATCACATTCTACTCATCCATCCATTCGTCAATGGACATTTAGGTTGTTACTACCTTTTGGTTCTTGAGAATAATGCCACTGTGAAAGTTGTTATACAAATATTTCGTCCCTGCTTTCAGTTCTTTTGGATGAATATGCAGAAACGGGATTGCTGGAACATTTGGCAATTCTATGCTTAATTTTTTGAGGAACCCTCATACTGTTTTCCATAGCAGCTGCATCAGTTTACATTCCCACAAACAACACATGAGGTTTCCAATTTTTCCACATCCTCAAAAACACTTTGCATTTTCTGGGTTTTTGTGTTTTGTTTTTGTTTTTGTTTTTTTTAAATAATGGTCATTCTGGGCTGGGCATGGTGGCTCAAGCCTGTAATCTCAGCACTTTGGGAGGTCGAAGTGAGAGGATTGCCTGAGTCCAGGAGTTCGAGACCAGCCTGGGAAACTTGGTGAGACCTCATCTCTACAATAAATAAAAAATTAGCCAGGCGTGGTGGTGCATGCCTGTGGTTCCAGCTACTTGGGTCACAGTATAGATGCTGTACCGCAAGGTGTCATGGCTACATTCCAAGCATGGATGAGGAGGAAGGGATAGTACCTCTATGACAAAGGTTAACAGCCACAGATAAGAGTTTTGAGTATTTCAGCTGGGCATATTTTCTTGTACAAACACAACTGAGGTCCTATTAGTGAGGAAGCAGAAGACAATGGATATAAGATAGGAAACTAGTAATGTCTGTCATAGTGTCACTCTTTTTTTTTTTTTTTGAGTTGGAGTCTCACT